GAGCCCCGCATCGGGCTCCCTGCTCAGCGGGGAGCCTGCTTCTCCCTCTGCCTGCCGCTCCTCCTGCTTGTTCCCTCTCTCTCTTTCTGACAAATAAATAAATAAATAAAATCTTTAAAGAATAAATAAATAAAAAGTCAGCAATTTAAATCTAGGTTTTCAGCTTCTAAGTTCTGGTAGTGCTGGGTAGGGCACCACTTGCTAGAGCTGAGCCGGTTCTCTGCGGCCCTCACCACTCCCTACGGCCTGACACTTGGCCCTGCTTTGCTCCTTTCCACTACTGGCGCGGCCCCCTAGGCCCTTGCATGTGTTCTCTCTGGCTTAGATGGTCCCAAATTCACTGACTCTATTTTATTTTGCAGCAAGTTGATTTTTGAGATGTGCCGGTCTAATTTGTCTTATTTTTTCCAAGATGTCCTCGGAGGTCCCCTTCCCCAACTCTGACATTCTGAATCTAGTTGGCAGAAAAAAGAAGTAAAGTTTGTCATTCACTTTAATTCTCTCTGACAGCTGGATGATCCGGCCATCAGTCTGAATCTGGGGCCAGGCGCCAGAGAGTGGCTGCAGGAGTTAGCAGTGATAACAACCTCTCTGCAGATCGCTTGGCCACTGGAACAGAGAGAGTTCCACCTGATCTGGTCTATTTTAAACTCAAGGCAGCTGTATTCAGTGCAAGGCTGCATCCCTGAAGACCTCACGTAAATCTGAGCTTGCATAATTCATGACCAACCCTGACCAAAGATGATGGACATGTTTTTTGACAGCTGAAGTGGCCCAGCTATGTGGCAATAGCTTAGAGAGAGCTTACAACTTACCCGGCTCATCATAATGTGATTTTTGATCAGTCGGAGAATAAAATGGCCACAAATCTGAGTTTGAAACCTAGAAACATCATTGCGGGCTGTGAGATGCTGAGCAGATTCTGAAAGCACTCTGACCCCGGGTTTCTTCATCTGATCCACCTCAACTCGGCATGGACTTGGCACGCTGGAGGTGCTCAAAATGGTAGTTCTCTGCCACTAGCTGTGGGCTGGGTGAGGGTCTGATCCTGCCACTCTCCAAGTGATACAAGATCCTTGAGTAGTCATGACTATAGACATGCCTGGGACAGTCACAGAAGGAGATGGAAGCCCTCTGCATCTCAGGACCCAAGAGATCCTTCAGTGTCCCCCCAGTGATGCTTGTCTCTGTGTGCCCTATGGACCAAAAGATGATTATAAAACATGCTATGGTCTCTTCTTAGATCACAGCCCTTAGGGCCAAGAAAAGCTTCTTGGTAACTCTCTCTGGTGGACTGATGCCAACCGTAACCCTTTTTATTGGATACCTCAATCAGAACGATGAGCTGCCTGCTTCCACTGGGCAGGGCTCACGACAGCAGCGGGATGCAGCATCAGTGTGGTATGTCGGGGCAGCCCGGAGAAAGAAGAGCATGACAGTCCTGTGTCTGCTGAACAGTAAGAGCTGCATGCCTAGCCATGGACATGGTCTGTAGCTTCTGACCAAAGGAAGAACCAGCCCAGAGCAGCAAGTAGCGTCCCAGGATAGAATCTGATATTCATGAGCATCAGGCTTCCGATCAAGTCCAAGACCACTTAGCAGCCAACTTATCCAAACCCTTCTCTTATGTGACCCTTACTGACACCCATAGTCAAGCTCTAATTTACCTTGGGGACACCTCGGGTCCCTTAACAAGCACACATTCATCTCCATCTCGATCCAGAGGCAGGGAAAAGTCTTTTAGGGTTCCCTGGGACAGAGACGTGGCATGACTTATGGATTTACATGGGTCCACCTACCTCAGCCCTTAATGGATCTGAGTGATATGGCTTTTATGATGCCTGCTGCTTAGTCTCTCTTTCATCTCTTATAGAATGTGTCACTTAGGGGGACCTGGGTGGCTCAGTTGGTTAAACATCTCACTCTTGATTTTGGCTCAGATCATGATCTCAGGGTCATGGGATCGAGTCTGGCATCGGGCTCTGCGATGGGCATGGAGCCTACTTAAGATTCTCCATCTCTTCCTCTCCTCCCTCCCTCCCTTGCCGCCCAAAAGTGTCACTTCCATTCATGTTTCTAAACCTTTCTTGGAGAGGTACAGGCCCAAGTGTTTATTTTGAAGGATCTCATCTTTTAAAAGAACGATCTGTTGGTTAAAAAGAGTTTGCATTCACACGCGGCTCTGTCAAAGCAGTGTGATAGCTCCATGTTCCTCAGAGCCCCATAGCCCACAGATTAGGACTTGTGGGTCACCTTGTCATTTGTTTCATAATAACCACACGCCACCAAGAAGCATCCTTCTCTCATTGACTGTAAACTTTCTGACACCCAAATTCCAGATTCCCAAAAAGAAATCCCAGATTGGAAGAAGTTGATGGGGCTGAGACTCCAAAATCAGGGAAGGTTAAGAGAAAAGGGCCTGTCAGAGGGGGAACAAAGGGCATGAGAAATCCACTTCTGGAGGAAGCAAGTGAGTGAGGATGACAACAAATATTTTGAATGCTGGCGATGCCGGGCCCCTTGCAGGAGCCCCGGTCCTTCAGTGCCTCTGCAGCCTGGGAAGGTGCAGATGGCAAGACAAGCAGATGGGCAGGTTCGGGAATAGCAGGGTAAGGAAAGGGAGGGGCAAGAATCAAAGCAAACCGCTCTAAGTGGCAGGTTTGTTCGCACATTCTTAGAGAGAGAGAGCAGACAGCCAAGCCCAGCATGACATGACAGCCTGGCAGGATTATTAGTCCCAGAAGCTGGGACACTAAAATATTTCAGCCAGTTTTCTGCCTTAAACTCTCCAAGGGAAACACTGCTAACAAAGGCTGCCCGTGTTCCGTGCTCAACGTGATCCAGAAATTACCATCCCCTTTTCTTTGGGGAAGACAGACTGTCACAACCTTTGTCTCCGTGGTGCTGGGGCTGTGGTCACCAGCTGGAGGCTTCCACACTTCCACGCCTGTTTTCTCACTGCACACGCATGAGTGCAAACACGTGACCATACACATACATACAAACATGCACACACGAACACACACATGCTCACGGCAACAACGCAGCCATCTGGACAGCCATGCTCTCCCACAACACCTTTTTTTCTCCTGAGTTCTGACAGCTTAAACCCAAGAGTCATCTGCCATCAAAGATGCCTGGTATTGAAAGAGGCAGAAGGAGCCTGCGGATGGGGAGGTGAGGAGCAGACGAGGACAGAGTAGGGAAGAGGAGGTTAAGAAGGGGGAGTGACACGGAGGGAGAGAGAGAGAGAGAGAGTAAAGGGACGTGCTTGGCTCCAGCTATTCCACTAACAAGCTGTCCTTCTAGAATCTGTTGATTGGGAAAAATCCATAATTCCAAATAAGATCACAGTCCATTGCCCACGACCCCCACTGCCTATAGACTCTCCCTCTGCAGTCTTGCGCCGTCACCCCAGGGGAGAGATTGCTCATTTCTCTCTACCTCCCTCGGTATTTACCGCATATGCACGGTACACACGCCTCGGACGCACCATGCTGCAGATTTGGATTGTGCATCTATATACTGCAAATTCTGCAGTTAATGAGTTTTCTGGGAGGAACAGTGGTGTCCAGGTCTCACTGTATCCCTACAGCTTGGCACACATCAGAGCCTAACTAGCCCTCTCTTAATAATGAGTGAGTAAATAAGTAAGTGAGTGAGTGTATGAATGGACTGGTTAAATGGATATAAAAAGAAATGGATTGTTGCAAGAGGTGTAAAAAGTAATAAAGAGAAAAGGTCAGAAGAGTAAGGGATACAGAAATAAAGAGGAGAGAAGCAAATGTGTTCTGAGCTGTGCATGCCACAGGGATGTATGGGCTATCAGGAATGATTTATTGCCGACGATCTGAGGTCTCTATCACAGCATAGCATTCATTTAAGCAAGCTATACAGGAGAATGCACTCTTGAATTACATGGTTTAATTGAAAAATAATCTATGAAGGCAATACTCACTCTATCACATGATTCCTGGGAAGTTTCTTTCATCGAGTTTTCTGATAAAGCAGCACTGGTGTTCTTAACATCGTGCAGGGCTTCCACCCATCCACCTACCCCCATCCCCCCATCCATCCGTCTGTCCATCTACCACCCATCTGTCTATCTATCTTTCCAAAGGCACTTGTTGAGCCCTAGCTGGATGCAGAGTACTGGGTTCTACTTGGATATACGTCTTTGCTTTTGTGCTGAGCGCGAGAATATCCCACAGAATCCAGCTCACCCTCAGAGGTGAAACACTACACCTGTTTCCTCCATGGCCGCAAATGCCCATCGCCTGACGCCTTCGCTCCTGGGAGGAGGCCTGCAAGCAGAATGGGTGTGGCTACAGCTTTGCCCCTTCATAGAGACGGACAGGGAGCCAGGCACGCAGATAGGCAGAAGGCGCACAGATGCCTCCCGACTTACCAGCTTGGTTCGTGGTGATGTTGACGGAGACATGCTGTGGGGGAAAGGGGCTCTTGCTGGAGACTCCGTTGACGGCCTGGATGTCGAAGGTGTAAGGGGTGTGGGCCCACAGGCTGCTGATGGAGACTCGGCCCTCGGTCAGGCCCAGCTGCCGGGGCACAAACTCCACGTTGTCGTCACAGCGGGAGCAGCTCCGACGGTCTGCGCGGCACTTTCTACAGATGATGTTGTAGGTCACATCGTCCCGCCCGCCTGTCTCCCTGGGCGGGTGCCACTCCAGAATGATGGACGTCTCATTGACGATGGAGATGACGTTGCGGGGGCCTGATGGGACACCTGGAAGGAGACAAAGAAGGGCCTGGTGAGGCTGGGTGGAGGCTTCCTCCCCAGCCTCTCTCCATCTGTCTTTGGTGGGTTCCCACCCTTGTCACATGCACTCATCATTTCCTGTCCCTCAATCCCAAATCTCCACGCTCCAATCCATTCCGAGAAAATGTGGTGGATGGAGATGACAACTAGCCGCAAACTCCCCTCTCAGTCGTCCCCGCTGGGAAGACTTCTTTCAGCCATGTGTGCCAAAGGAGGGGAGGTTGTGAGGACCCAGCTTCAGGCCCTTTTGTTCTCAGGACTACGCCGCTTCCCCTGGTCAATGCAAGTGTAGAGTATGTATGTATATTAGACACTTACGGGATTCCTATCTTTTCTTAATTAGTGTAGAACTCAAGGGTTGAGGGACACGAGTGGCCCATCAAAAGTCCCAACAGATCCTGGCATCCTGCACAAAACCTCACACAACTTGGGATCTGTGTGGTGTGTACACGCTGGGGGTGTTTCTCTGCAGGACAGGCTGCTAGATCACGTGCACAGATGAATATTCACAGTGCCCAAGCTTTGGTGCATGAAGACAAGAAGCAAAGTTGGGTGGGAGGTTCAGACAAGCCACCATTTTTGACCCCATGACATAAGAAGAGCATAAAGGTTTGTTCCAGACACTCTGCTATAGCTGCTTTACACGCATTTACATGGGAAGATACAGTGATTAATTCAATTTTATAGAGAGGGAAGCTAAAGCTGGGCATGCAGACTGGCTGTAGATCATGTGGTCTATAAGAACTGAAGCCAGTACAGAGACCCACGTCTGCCTGATTCCATAGCTCATGCTCTTAACGACAGCCCTCTGCTGCCTGCTAGTGAAACCGGCTATCTTTCCCTACTAAGGAAAAAGCCGTCTCCCACTCTGGCCTTACACTGGTACAGTACTCCAAAGGTTGATGGTCTGATCTGTTCACAGACAACAGGAGACTTGAACAGCCTCTCTCTCCTACAAACCAGCCAGGCTCACTGGGAGTCAAGGACAGCAGCCTTTCCCTCTGGACAGCTCTGTCTATAGCTGCTCTTCATCCTGTGGCAAAGGTGGAAATGTCTTGTTAAGTACTAAATTCTAGAAAGCCTGGTCCTTTGTAGAAAGGCAAGCTGTTTCTGAATTACCGGCCACAGTGCTGGACATTTGATGAAGTCGGAGAATCTCCTGCCCAAGAACAGATCATAACCTTAGGTTCCCCAGCTGAACACTGTGTATCCTTGATGTCGAACGCTGAAAATGAATCCTACCCAGAAGCCCCCCTTCCGAACGGTGGGTCCACTGGAGCAGCCACTCCGGATAGTAATGCATTCAGAATTTACGCACGTGACTGTCGCCAGCTGAACGAAGACATGTGTAAAGTGGTTCATGCTGAAGACAGGAATCAAATGCCAACAAATAAAATGAAGGAATAACAACAAGGTCGGGGGGCACCAGGGAAGGATTCTGTGTTGAATCAGTCAACAGCAAGCAGCTAGAGCAGAAAGCAAATATTAAATCGGATTCTATTAAAATGTGAAAGAAAATCAGTACTGTACTATATAAAGCCCATTAGGCCTGAGCTAAAGCACAACTTTCATGCATGCTTGTGACAGGGCAGGATTCATGAAGCATTTTTACTGAAGTCTTGCAAATAGCGTTCGAAAATTCCCCACCCATCTGCCCAGGGATAAATATCCATCTCTTCTCGAATCAGCACACAGCCAGGGCGGGGAAGGTAGCAGGCACGGCCGTCGGCGGGCTCTTACTACGCCAGGCCAGCTTCACCTCACATTGCACTAATTCATTAATGCGCATATTGGCCAGTGCCTGGTTTGGACACATCTGTTTGCTCAGACTGATGAGATTCGGACCACAACCTCCCAGTGGTCAGCGCCACTGTTCCCTGTCTCCGCAGACAGCCCAGCCTCTGCCACAAGCCACCGTTTCTCATCCTCCTAATAGATATGTTCATCGAGGGCTCCCTCTCTGCAAGGCGTGGGGCAAATCCTCTAACGGTGTTCTCTTACTGCATCCTTGGGACATCGTGAGGCTCTTACTGGAAAGCAGCCTTGGGCGATGGGGCAGGTACAGGTACTGCCTGGGAGAGGGACCACCCATCCTTCCCACCCTTTGGAGGCTTCCCCATTGCAAGTATCTCCTTTCTCCCCGACCTTCAATGTCACCCTCTCCCCTGACTCTACCTTCTCCATTTAAACACCCATAAATTTTTGCCATTTTAAAACCAAAGCACCATCACTGGCATCTTTCTACATCGAACATCCTCTCTTCTTTGCCCTCCAGCCGAGCTCTTCAAAATGGAGGTTCTCCTCTCCCCTCGCTCGGCCCAAGGCAGCCCGGTTACTTCCCCACTCTCCCACCACGTCTGCTTTTCCTCTGGTCTCCTACCTGATGAATGCAGGGAACACCCTTCAGTATTCCCTTCCTTGACACCCCGAGTCCTCACCAGCCAGACACATCTTCTGTGTCCCCCACGGATGGACTGTCACCACAGTGAGGGCCCATCTCTTTTTCCTCAGAATATTCCCTTCCTCAGGATCTCCACCACCTCAGAACCCCATGCCCTGTGGACTTTTCTGCCCTATAGCAACAGCTTGCCCGTGAATCCGCCAACATTGCTTTGCGTCCCTCCTATCCATTCTAGTCTGCTGGAGTGTGAGTTCCGAAATGTACGTGAGATCATGGTGTTCCCCTGCTCAAACCCCAATTGCCCAAAAGTCTACTTTCCGTCCACATCCTTCATGTCCCCTTGTAGTTGTGTCGCTTGGGATCTCATCCTTGGCCACTGGATGCTCGCCCTTACATTGTGACCAGTAGGAAGATTCCTGTGATTTCCTGTGCACACTCAACTCTCTTCATGCCCCCGAGCTTCTGCACAGTGTTCTCTGCTGTCTGGAATTCTTTTCGTCCTTATCTGCTTGATGAACTCCTGGACACCCTCCAAGATCTACCATTCATTCCACCAGGAGGCTTCTCTGAGGCCTGCAGTCATGTGCCCCCCACCCCTGGGTTTCCATAAGTCCATTTTTAAATGCTAACACAGATCCCATCACTGCATTGTGATGATCTCTTCCTCTGTGTTGTCCTCACCACGTGGCCTCCTGGTGGGCAGAAGCTTGTGGTTGGCTTGTCTCCGGGGTTCCCGTGCCCCAGCTCCTTGCCCAGGGAGAGGCAAATTCCTTGCACCTGGTTTGACCTCTGCTCAAGGTGCATGGCCTAAGATCACATGTGTGCCCCCTACTCCAGTATGAGAGGCCCTGCTGTGGGGCAGAGGGAGGATACAGATGCGGTAGCACTCAGGACCACTGCTTGTGCCCCGAGTGGTAGAGGCTTTAGTGAAATAAAGGTAGCAAGTGAGGAGCTGGCTTAGAGAGGCCTTCCCTGTCCCTTAATCCAACGGTGTCCATAGCAGCTGGGAAGACCCCAGTCAATGCTGCCCCATGTCTGCTCCCCCACTTAGGAAGAAGAGTGGTGTGTTTCCAGGAAGACTTTTTTTTCACGTTTATTTAGAAATAGACTTCATATAAAGCAACTACTGTCCCCATCTCGTTCATGGCTGCATTCCAGAGAAATACATCTGCGGGGGCATGAATGGGGGCCTATAGGACCCATGGTTATTGAGTCCAGAACTGCATATAGCAAATCTTCTCCTTTCGAAGAGAGCTGGGAGAACCTAAATATGTGTATCCTCAAAGGTAGAGATGTGTCTTGTTATCTCAGAGCCCAGCACAGTGCCTGGGCTCCCAGTGCACACCTGTGCAGGTGGCCTAACACTGGGCCACAAACACTGACTGGGATCCTGATCCTTACTTAGTCATTCACTCATTCATTCCTTTAACAAATACGCCTGCGCTGTTCTAGGCACTCAGGGGTTAGGAAAAAGCCAGACAGATAAGCCTCTGCTCTTACATTCTGGTAAGAGAAAACAGATAAGAAAGAAGGAAACCTCGAGATCAATGAGATGACTCAGATAAGAGTAAGTGCTCTGAGATAAAATAGCCCCCAGGTTAAGACTGCCTCCCAACAATGCTTAGCTCCTGCTCCCTTTCCCAGGAAGTTGGCTCTGGGCAGGGCAAGCCAGGGCCCAGGACCTGGGTGGCTAAAACATCAATGGTCCCTGGTCTCTGCTCCACTGGCCTAATGGTAAGAGCCAGGTCCCTGTCAGCAGGCTGCTCCACCTCTCCTATTCTTGGAGAGTCTGACCAGAGCAGGTTCAGGCCCCAGATGAACCACCCTTACCTATCCAAGCTGCACTCCCTGGGTTTGAGGCCTTACCCCTGCAGGGAGCATCCGCGCAGAACCAGAGCTCCCAGCCACATCCCCAGGAACGAGGCCAATTGAGACAACCACACAAAAATGTTAAAATGGGGAGTGCAGAGGGAAGTCAGAGGGAGAAGAAAATCTGTCATCTCCGTCAGCAAAAGCCCTCAGTGCATGCAGTGACAGGGCTCTGAGCCACAGTCTCCTTGTCTAAGCTCCCTGCTCTTGCGTCCATGTCCTCGTTTTTCTTAATTACATACAGACAGGCTTTTTGAAGCTTCTCTGATCTGTTGCCACGGTTACTACTGATGAAAGCTTCCTGTGAAAAGGGCTAAAGAGACTCAGTCCTTTTAAAAGATGGGAAAACCATTGAGCTGGTTTAGTGGGAGGGGCATGGTAGGTCCTAGGTTATGAGGATGGGGCTCCATGTCTTCCAGAATGTGCCCAAGAGGTTGGCTCAGCCTGCATGAGTATAGTTGGTATTGGGACCCCAAAGAGTTAAACAGAAAAGATCCTTCTAGAGGCAGGATTGGCCCAAGTGTTACCATATTGAGATAGAATCTCCTGCTTCTTAATGTGATTTAGGCCAGATGACTTTTTTTTTTTTTTAGAAGAATGGAAAGACAGGGTGGGTGGGAGAGAGTGGGTGAGTGTATTTGTAGGCATTAAGCTGGAAATAAGAGCACTCCTGAATAATCAAAGGGAAAATCTGCTG